TTATGGATCTCACCCGAGGACATTGACTGATTACAGTGACCTCGAGAGCATCTATAAGCGTTGTTGACCGCTCTCGTCTCTGATTGTAGAATGTCTTCGTAAATATTTGCTTGTTTGTGCGAGGTGTTTTTTCAATATTAGGGGTTTTTCTCAGCCAAGAAAAAAGTCTGATAGGATTTTTTTTTTCACCTCCAACTCCTACATGTGTCCAGTTAACCACTGTTTTTGTCTGTCCAAACATGTATCACTTGTAAATGAGTCTTCGAGGCTCAATGTGATTTATCTGTTTAAATAAAGGTTGAATGAAAAAACATTTTAACAGTGGGTGAATGGAGCAAACACTTGCTGGTTTCACAGGCAGGTAGATCTGACAGTCATCAGCATAACAATGGAATGAAAGACCATGTTTCCTCAGGATGGACCACAGTGAGAACAAATAAAGTGAGAACAGAAGGGGTCTAAGAATGGAACACTGTGGGACCCCGCAAGAAACAGGTAATGAGGCTGATACATTATTATCAACCTTGACACAAAAACTCCTGCCACTCAGGTATGAGCGGTACCATTCTACTGCAGCACCTGTGATCCCAACCCACTGTTCCAGCCGTGGTATAAGGATACTGTGGTCAACAGAGTGATGAGTAAAAGGAAAAAAAAAAGAGTGTAAACTGTGACAATTATATGGGAACACACAATGATGACAACACATAACACATTATTATTAATAATATTATTATTATCAGCTCGGAGGGCTTGCGATCCACAAAGCCATTCAGGGACAACAAACGGTCGGCCCGCTCTGCATCTGAAAGTCGATAAAGCCGTGGCAGGTTCTCCTTGAGCACACTATATCTGTTAGTGCTTGGTGAGTCCCACAACAGATCCATCAGATGGTGCATGTAAACAGAATCCAAGGCAGAAACGACATGGAAACACTTGGTCTCATCTGTGTTTATCCCAAGGAGGTGAAACTGGGCTTCCACATGCTGGATCCATGGTTCCAGATCAATTTGCCAGAACTCTGGAAGCGTAATAGTGGATGCAAAAACAGCATATAAAGCAGCGAGAAGAGATGAGACCAATGCAGTTGGAGCAATGGCTGCCTGGCAAAAAACTGGGTTCAAAAACACGGCTGGTAGAGAAGCGGCATAAGCATCTGGTGCGTTCTTGTTTGAAAACATGTTCAGATGTTTGGGGTCACCAATGTGGAAGTCAGCAGAAAGTGACTAACAATATCATGAGTCTTGCTTTATTCTGCACGTCTTCCAACATCAAAATCAGAAAATCGAATGAATTACAACTGTTGGTCTTCTCCTCTTATAGTTTGTCTATTTCACAATAAGATTATACATTCTGTGAGCAAGCACAGTGGCAACAATGTAAAGGAAAAACTCCATTTTTAAAAGGAAGAAATCTCCAGCAGAACCAGGCTCAGGACAAGCGGCCATCTGCTTTGACCGGCTGGTTTGAGAGGACAGGAAGGAGAGACAGATGAACACAGAATGGTAGGTCCAGGTATATGTCCAGGTGTACCTGAAAGACACACACAAAAAAAAAAACACATGTTAAGGATAGAAAAAATAACAAAGTCCATGCTTAATAATCCAGGTATACAATCCAACATTTTTCAGTCAGGTCAGGTTGTCAGGTCAGGTTGTTTTCAACCAGTTTGACAAGACTGTCAACAAGGAAGAGGGCCGACAATGGAGGAGGGGGCGTACCAAAGAGACCATCTTATCACAAGCAAAACTGGTTTGTTCCACTTTGGAGTAAGCTGTCAGGGAAATAATCAGTTTTGTTGTGCGTTTAACTGATGAAGCCTTCCGGATCAAAGGCGAAATGTTTCACCACAAAAAAAGAAACTGTACAGATGACCTGACTGAAAAATGTTGGTTAGAAAAAATAATTACAAATACAAAACAGGTTGAGCAGAGTAAGTAAAGACAGTAGCAGAGTGAAAAGTGTGGTCAGTGTGTCCTCCAGCAGTCTAAGCCTATAGTAGCATAACTAAGGTGTAAGATCTCCTGATGCATGCTCAATAATCCAGGTAGAACTCAGGAGCCAGGCAGAAGGAGAAATCCCACACAAGACAGGCTCTAGAGCAACGTGGATATCCTAACTGGGGTGTCCTGAAAGCAGAGAAGAAACCCAAACAGGACTCCAGCAAGCCACCAGGTGAAAAAGAGGAACCCAGACCCAGACCAGTGGTCATTCTATATGTTGCGGGAGTATCAGAGAAACTGAGACGTTTATTTTCTAAACATAACGTCCCAGTGGCTTTTAAACCCCAAAATACATTACGGCAAAGACTGGTTCATCCCAAAGATCCAGTCCCCCGGCACAAACAGAGTAATGTTGTGTATGCTGTTCAGTGTCAGGAGGGCTGTGATCAGTCTTACATCGGGGAAACTAAACAGCCACTGGCCAAAAGGATGGCCCAGCACAGAAGATCAACATCATCAGGCCAGGACTCTGAGGTCTACACTCATCTCCAGGCCAGTGGTCACTCTTTCAGGGATGAAGATGTTCACATCCTGGACAGAGAGGAACGATGGTTTGAGAGAGGAGTAAAGGAGGCCATCTTTGTGAAAAGAAACCGTCCATCATTAAACAGGGGTGGAGGCCTCCGTGTTCAACTGTCCCCCTTTTACAATGCTGTTATTACTATTATCACTGAGCCTCCTGTGAATCGCAAAAAGCCATCAGGTGCTAATGATTCATTGTTAGGCTGATGGTCCTCCTTGATTAGTTGAGCAGCTGGTTCTGGTTGTCAGCAGAAAACTGGTTGATCCACTCTGAGAAGGTGCTATTTATAAGACTGAGCTGAATACAGCACCTCAGACTGAGGAAGTCTTTCAGATGAAAGACGAAACATTTCTACTTTTTTAAATAATAAAAAAAAAAATTAATGTCCAAAGGACCAGATTTAACTTTTTTAGATGCCCTTCTGAAGGTTTTTAACGACATCTTCATATCCACAGACGCTGGTGATTCTGTGCTGCTTGTCCTATTGGACCTCATATCTGCTTTTGACACCATCGACTTGAGATCCCCATTTCTAGTCTGTAGCAGTGGGTGGGCATCACGGGGTCAGCCGTCAAGTGGTTCAGATCCTACCTCTCTGACAGAGCCTTTTGTGTCAACATCAAAGATTTTAGTTCAGCATCGGCTGCGCTTAAGTGGAGGGTACCACAGGGGTTCATCCTTCTATTTTCTTTATATCTGCTGCCACTAGGTGCTATTTTCCATACACACAACATGCCCTTTCACTTCTACACCGATGACTGTCAAATTTACTTCCCACTAAGACACAATGGTACATGCTCTATTCAACCTCTGCTTGACTGCCTGGCTGACATTAGTGACTGAATGGCTTTATATTTCTTAGATTCAATGAAAAAAAATCTGAAGTCATGTTGTTTTCTCCCAATGACACAATCATCAACCACTGCACTGACCTTTCCGCTCTAACCCCGTTAGAGAAGCAAAGAGTCACTAATCTGGGAGTGATAATGGATTCTTCCTTGAAACTCAATAGTCAGGCAAACATGATTGTTAAATCATGTTTTTTCAGCTGAGGCAGCTGTCCAAGCTGAAGCCCATATTGTCCAAAAATAACCTGGAGACAGTAATACATGCATTCATTACATCTAGGCTTGATTACTGCAATTCGCTCCTGTTTGATCTCCATTGCATGACTGCAACTGGTCCAAAATGCGGCAGCTCGATTTTTAACCAGTACAGGACAGGCAAAATAGAGCACATTACACCAGTTTTGACCTCCTTGCACTGGTTACTGGTTCACTTTCAAATCCATTTCAAAATACTACTGTATGTTTTTAAATCACTGAACATATCCTGATGCATGCTCAAAAATCCAGGTAGAACAATCCAAAAAAGTTCAATCTGGTCCTCTGGACATTCAAAAACACAAAAAACAAAACAAAGCAAAAAAATATAGAAACGTTTCGTCTCTCATCCAAGAGACTTCCTCAGTCTGAGGTGCTGTATTCAGCTCAGTCTCTTAAATAGCACCATCTCAGAGTGGATCAACCAGTTTGCTGCTGACAACCAAAACCAGCTGCTCACATGCTCAAGAAGGACCATCAGCCTAACAATGGATCATTAGCACCTGATGGCTGTTTACTGTTCACAGAGGGCTGAGTGATACTAGCAATCACAGCATTGTAAGAGGGGGACAGTTGAACCTGGAGGCCTCCACCCCTGTTTAATGATGGACGGTTTCTTTTCACAAAGATGGCCTCCTTTACTCCTCTCTCAAACCATCGTTCCTCTCTGTCCAGGATGTGAACATCTTCATCCCTGAAAGAGTGACCTCTGGCCTGGAGATGAGTGTAGACCTCAGAGTCCTGGCCTGATGATGTTGATCTTCTGTGCTGGTCCATCCTTTTGGCCAGTGGCTGTTTAGTTTCCCCGATGTAAGACTGATCACAGCCCTCCTGACACTGAACAGCATACACAACATTACTCTGTTTGTGCCGGGGGACTGGATCTTTGGGATGAACCAGTTTTTACTGTAATGTATTTTGGGGTTTAAAAGCCACTGGGACGTTATGTTTAGAAAATAAACATCTCAGTTTCTCTGATACTCACTCAACATACAGAATGACCACTGGTCTGGGTCTGGGTTCCTCCTTTTCACCTGATGGCTGACTGGAGTCCTGTTTGAGTTTCTTCTCTGCTTTCAGGAAGGCCCAGTTAGGATATCCACATTGCTCTAGAGCCTGTCTTGTGTAGGATTTCCATGATGACATCCCTCACCTTATCCACAAAGTCCATGGTGTTCTGTATGTGGTGTTCTGAGCTGCCAACTAAAGGGATGAGTACAGACGCCAGATATTTGGAAACATTGTAAGTGACAGAGTTAAT